AAGGAGTGTGCCACCAAGATCCCTTGAATGTGCAGTTCACAATAGGGTTGGTGCTTCTGTAAGAATCGAATGCCCTTGTTGATCTGAGAGGAGACTCTCAACTCTTGTCCACTGCTCACCTCCTCCTGTGTGGCCAGGTTCCTACAGACTGCTACTGGTTTGCATCTTAGGGGTTGGGCATCCCTACTCTAAGGTGTTCTTGTAGGCAAAATTCTAAGTGATCCTTAAGATACTCGCCATAAGGCGGGCTCGGTGGCTCAGCCTGTAATCCCACGCTTTGGGAGGCTGAGGTGAGTGGATTGCCTGAGCCCGTGGGTTCGAGACCCACCTGGGCAACTTGGCGAGACCTCATCTCTACAATAAATCAAAAATTAGCTGGGTGTGGTAGCGCACGCCTGTAGTTCCAGCTACTTGGAAGGCTGAGGTGGAAGGATTGCCGGAGCCCAGCAGGCAGGGCTGCGGTGGCCGGGAGTGGCCACTGCACTCCAGTCTGGGTGACAGAGTGAGACTCCAATTCAAAAAAAAAGATACTTGCCACATGGTATATACACTCTGTGAAACTCTCTGCCCTTGGGCATGGGTAGGGCCAGCAATGGTAGAAATCAATCTCAATAAACCAACAACTGAACTGATTGCAGGAGAACAAAGTACTCCAGTAGAAAAATAAAAAAGATTGTCAGGGTAGGTAAAAATAAAATCTAACGTGTTATTTATAAGGGGAGCCTATAAGACATAAGTATATAGAAAGCGTTTCTATAAATTAAACATTAACTGAAAGAAGACTGATGTGAATATGTAAATATTATATAAAATAAATCTAAGGCAAGAAAAAAAATCATTCCTGGAGATACAGAAACTATGATAGAAGGTTACTTTAGCTTGGAAGTCATACTAATTTTAAATATGTGTGGACCAAATAATGTGGACTAAAATATATAATGTGAAAATGGACAGAACTACAAGAAAAACCAAACAAATCCACAATAATAGAGGAAGATCTGAACACACATTTTTCAGTAATTGATATAAATTTTTGGATAGAATGATTAAGAAAATTGACCTAATGGAAAATATAGAACAGTACTCATGGTGAATACTGAATGGATTTTCTTTTTAAGCCATAAAAACATTTTAAAGAGATGATGCTGGATTACAAACGACATCTCAACAAATTTCATGGATTAAACTTATGAAGAATGAAGAATATGTTCTCTGACCATAAGGGAGCTGTTAGAGAGAAATATTTTGCTGTATACATTACATTTCTATGTGCAAGCTAATAAATATATTTTAAAGTAACTCATGAGTCAAAGGAGACATTCTTTTTTATTTTTATTATATTTTGTTTTAGAATTGTGGGTTACACATGAGTATTTGCTTATGTGTGCAGTGCGTGAAGGTGAGGTCTGAATTTCTAATGTGCCCTCTCCTCCCATAGTGGACATGGTACCCAGTAGGTGCTTTTATATCCCTTAGTCCTCCTCCTTCCCTCCTTTCTTTAGAAGTACCCTGTGTCCTGGGCTTTCACCCATGTGCCCAATGTTCAGGGACCACTTGTGAGTGAGGGTGTGCGGTATTCGGTTTTTTGTGTGATAATTCACTTAGAATGATGGTCTGTAGCTACATCCATGTTGCTGCAAAGAACATGATCTTGTTCTTTAGGGCTGCATAGTATTCCATAGTACTATATTTTCTTCATTCAGTCCACCTTCAGGGGGCCTCTGAGTTGGTTCCATGTTATCTTGCTATTGTGAATGATGCTGCCATAAACATACATGTACAGATGTCTTTTTGGTAAAGCAATTTGTGTTCCTTTGAGTAAATTCCCAGGAGTGGAATTGCTGCATCAAGCAATAGCTCTAGTTTAGGAGAAATTCTAATGGAGAGTAGAAAACAGCTGGAACTGAATAATCACAAAAATACTACACATCAAAACTTATAGAATGTAGGTAAATCAGCATTTACAAAAAATTTATAGCATTCTGTCGATAAAATAGAAAAGATGTAAGCTTAAAAAGTTAATTAATGAAGCATACAAGGGGGAACCCCCAAAACCCAGAATTTATTTACACAAAATTGTATATTTATTCTTATATGCTTAAACTTCAGTCACTTTCAGAGTTCTCTCCATCTGATGTAACACACCTACTGAAATGCTTTTTCTACTGCTCAAAACAGTTTTTGAACTCATCAGTACACATGTGTTTTAGTGCTTCTGCTGCTTTTTATTTCACCTCTTCCACTTTGGCAAAACCTTTCCCTTTGAGGATTTTTTTCATCTGGGGAACAACAACAACTAGGGGTGAGATTGAGCAAATAAGGTGGATGGGAACAGGGGTCATGCTGTTCTTGGTCAAAAATGGCTAAGCACTCAGCGTGATGTGGGCAGGTTGTTTGTGTAAATCATCCCTCATGAAATGGGCAAATGTGTTGAAAGAATCTCCAAAAAAAGACTGAATGAATGGGACTGCCAAATGCAGTCTTTCACAACAATGCTAGCAGGTACACTGAGGCCGATGGGTTCCTAGAACACTTACCTTACAGGTTAAGTCTGTACTACAAGGAGCCCACCCTTTAAAAAAATAATTGTTTTGGGGGGATACCACTTATACACTATAAGAAGGTACAGAAAAAAATGCCAATTAAAAACCAAAGAAGGTGAAAGCAGAAAATAATAAACACAAAAGCTAAAATTAATGATTTAGAAAAGTAAGAAAAATTGAATGAAGTAGTAAAACCAGTACTTGACATCACATAACCTGCCTAGGTTGAAACAAGAAGAAATCGAGACCCTAAATAGACCAACAACAATCAAGGAAATTGACTATGTCATAAGAAAACTACCTACCAAAAAAGCCCTGGACCAGATGGCTTTCCAGCAGAATTCTACAAGACATATAAGGAGGATGATACCAATCCTACTGTAAATATTCCAGGTGATTGAGAAAGATGGAACTTTCTCCAAATCATTTTATGAAGTTAACATCACACTGATACCCAAGCCAGGTAAAGACCCAACAAAGAAAGAGAACTATAGGCTAATATCTTTGATGAACATAGATGCTAAAATTCTCAACAAGATCCTAGCAAACCGAATTCAACAACACAACTAAAAAAAAATCATCCATCATGATTAAGGGATGCAAGGCTGGTTCAACATTCGTAAGACCATAAATGTAATTAAATACATTAACAAACATCAAAACAAAAACCATATGATTGTATCATTAGATGCAGAAAAAGCTTTTGAAAAAATCCAGCACCCCTTCTTGATAAAAACCCTCAAACACCTAGGCATATGTGGAACATACCTCAAAATAGTAAAAGCCATCTATGAGAAACCCACAGCCAGCATACTTCTAAACAGACAAAAATTGGGACCGTTTCCCCTGAAAACTGGAACAAGACAAGGATGCCCATTCTCACCCCTCCTGTTAAATATAGTTTTGGAAGTCTTGGCTAGAGCAATCAGAAAAGAGAAGGTGATCAGGCGTATCCAAATAGGAAAAGAGGAAATCAAGTTATCTCTCTTTGCAGATGACATGACTGTATACCTTGAAAACCTGAGAGAATCTGTCAAAAACCTCCTTGCACTGATAAAGGACTTTGGCACAGTCTCAGGGTATAAAATAAATGTGCAAAAGACAATCACATTTCTTTATACTAAT